CCCTCAGTTGCCCTAAAATTCTGCCCTCCCTTACTCCTTAATTTTTGTTCTCAGTTGCCTTACGGGTTAGGATGTGTCTGGAGCAGATGACTATGCCTGCCTAGCTAAGACAAAAGGAAAGCCTCAGTGCTCAAAATATACTGGTATAAGGGCAATGTCTGAAAGAGGCAGCTTTTAACCTGAGAGGGAAAAGGATGTTTCTCTCTCTTCCAAAACCTGCGAGAGCCCTCTAGGGTTAAGGAACCAAATACAGACTGGCCTACGGCCTATAGTTGAGGGAATATAGTATATAATAAGTATTATATAGTATATAATACTTCTTGGGAAAAGGTCACCTTGACCTCAATTGACTAGATATAAAAATCACAGGCTAAAAAACATAAAACCTGCATTTTTACCTCAGCCTTTACTAGGCCATTGCAAAATAACTGACCATGTTTACTCATCTGTTAATGTAATGGTGAAGGCAGAGAGAAAACTGTGCTTTATTTCAGGAACAGATCTTTTTTTGTGGAAGGCAGACTATATTCCTAAAGATGGAAAATGAAATTTCTAGTTAAATTCAAAAAATAAAATCAGCTAAACCCTTCTGAAATATGCAGTGGGTTTTGGCTCTAGGTCTTTAGATTTAGTTAAGGTCTTTTAATAGAGATCTTGCTTATCTGCATTCACCTCACTAAAAACCATTCTTCTAAAAGTCAATGATTATTTCCTTTTCCATAATATTTCTCTTCCTTGCATCCTTCATTCTTTATCCCTTCTGAGGGATATCAATATCGTATGTCCCCCACTCTAAGGCACATGGCTCAAAGAAATAATTACTGGGATTACTGGGTCTGTCTCTGCTAGCCAAGGGACCACTTGGTTACAAGGACAGCTTCAGGAATGAGGGCCATCAGATAAGGGTTTGGGCCCTCCCTTTATTACCCCATTATACTTCTATTTCTATTTATAATATTTGTCCAGTAACTCTGAGTAAAACTTGTCTTCTCACGTAGAGTCCTTTAAGCTACAGGAGTCCACTGAGATGCAGCCTGAAATGAACATACTGCCTAATCTCTACAGAGGAAGCCTAAACAGAACCTTGAGAGAGGTATCACCTGCAACACAGTGACCTTCTCTCAATAGGAAGCAGCCAGAAAATTTATGACCTTTGCTCCCCAATAGCGGGTAGAGTCTCCTGCTAAGGGAGGAGAATGATATAGGGAATAACTAGGCATCGGGGAAACATTAAGGAGAAAAGAATTTTTCCCTGAGAATAAAGACGACTAGAATTTCCTGAGGCTGGGCCTGATGGCATATCCAGCCAGGCAATGGCCACCTTGATCTTCTGCTTACCTTTGTCTTAGCATCAAGGTTAAAGAGACCTTGGGGATAATAGACTGACCAGCATGTAGGCTTAGTGGGAAGACAAAAAGTGTTTGCTCACCATTCCAGCTAGAGCCCTCCTTCTGCTGGTATCTTCCTGAACACTTTCACTTGAGAGTTTTCCTTCATTTTTTAATCAATCTTTTTGGGTCTAACCATTTTCATTTTATCACTTGCTTCCAATCTTTGGTAGCCAGAAGAACTTGCGCACAGCAGCAGGTAATGAAAAAAAAATAACTACCATTAAAGTAATAGTATCCCAAATTTGCTGGTGGAAAAATTGAGACACAGATCCAGAATCTTTTCTGAGCTCTGTTTCCAACTTCCTCTTTTTCACCCTTTTTGCTCTTTTTTTCTTCTTTCTAGTTCCTGTCTGGCTCCCCTTTCCTTCTCTCAGGAAAGGAGAGAAGGAAAATATCCTGGTTCCTGCCTATGTGTAACTGAGACTGACGATGGTGGGTAGTGTGCACTTACCCAAAAGCATTGGCAGAGTGTTCAAACTCTTATGTAACACATTATCATTCCCCACATTTGGGAGATTATGGGAGGAAGAGGACAGCTCTGATCCCAGAACAGCGGAAGGTTCTGCAAGCCTTGGTGTGTCTTTGATAGGAATGGGAAGAGAGATAAATTCTGGACTGTCTTACATCCCAGCAATCCTGAAGGAGAGGGGAGTGAGGGGGTGGGAGAGGACTGCCTTGTCACTCAGGAGCCAAGGAAGCCTGGACTGGGAGATGTAGGCTCCGTGCCCTTTACTTCCTCGTAAGTCTAGGGAGCTTTTGGCTAGGAACTAGGAACACATTTGCCACAAAGGTTTGAACTTTACAGCTTGTCAGGTCCACTCAAATCTGAGGTTTTTTATTTATGTTCATCCCACAACACCCCCTCCTTTTTCCCCCTCCTTTTAGTCCTTCTGTTGATTATGACTAGTTAGAGGCTTAAGAGGTAAGGACATTTATTGTTCATCAAGTAGGGATTGTGATGGTAGGTGGTTCAAGAGTTGATTCAGAGACCTCTGGACACTGGTTGGCATTTCTGAGATTTTCAGGGTAGCTTCAGACATCTTGGCTCGCTGGCAGGAATAATGAGGGTGGAGAGGACTTTCAGAAAATCTCCCTTTATTTAGAAGGGGCTGGAAATAGTTTTCTAGACAAATTCCATCACACTAGAGTCTTGCCCTACTTCACTGACAAGAACTAACTGTAGTGGAGACTGAGTGATATTTTTTACCCTTCTAAGGGACAAAGGCAAGAGGCAGGGAATGTATTCGTCACTGGGTAGAAGTCCTGGGGCCTGCCACCCTCTCCCTCATTTCCTCAGCTAAGATGTACTGATGGGCTGGAGCAATAGAACAGTGGGTAGGGCGTTTGCCTTGCATTCAGCCAACATGGCCGACCAGAGTTCGATTCCTCCACCCCTCATAGAGAGCCCGGCAAGGTGGCGAGAGTATCTCGCCCGCATAGCAAAGCCTGGCAAGCTACCTGTGACGTATTTGATATGCCAAACACAGTAACAAATCTCACAATGTTACTGGGCCCACTCGAGAAAAATCATTGAACAACGGGAGGACAGTGACAGTGACAGTGACAAGATGTACTGAGCACCTCACTGGCACAGCCTCTGATGTTCAAGAGGAAAAGAGTCATATTTGACAATTTAACTTAAATGTGTGCCATTGTGGACAGTGTTGACTTTGGGGAAAGAAGATGGAAAAAATACCTTGAGCAGATTTCACAAACTGCGCTGTGAAGAAATAAGTTCAATTCCTCAAGAACTGGGCCTGTGGGCTAGTTAAAATACAAATAAACTTTTAAGATATCCACACACAAAAAAAAAGAAAGAAAGAAAAGAAAGATAAAGGCCTGTTCTCCAGGAACCACAGGTTCCAACCACATAGGCTGGAACCACAGAGAGAGGCAGAGAATTACAACTAAGTTGACAAGGGCTAAAATGGTGGTGGAGAATGGGCACTGGTGAAGGGATGGGTACTCTATCATTGTATAACTGAAACCCAAACACAAAAATTTGTAAGTCTACAACTGTACCTCATGGTGTTTCCCTAATAAAAATTAAAAACAAACAAACAAACAAAAAAAGAAGTGAGTATCCCTGTAACTTTGGGAGCTTAAGAGTTGCCCTGGAAGGACCAGGAGGGGCTAGAGGAAGCAATGATACACTATCTTGTGATGGGTAAAGTTTCCAGCTAGGTGTGAAGGGTTTGTGGGAGGTGCCCAAGAGGAAGGTATTTGGGAATCTTTCTGGATTTGAAATGGCCAGACAAAATGAGCTAATAGGTAGCACTGTAGCACAGTCCTCCCGTTGTTCATCGATTTGCCTACGCGGGCACCAGTAACGTCTCGATTGTGAGATTTGTTGTTATTGTTTTTGACATATCGAATATGCCACGGATAGCTTGCCAGGCTCTGCTGTGTGGACGGGATACTCTCAGTAGCTTGCCGGGCTCTCCGAGAGGGACGGAGAAATCGAACCTGGGTCAGCCATGTGCAAGGCAAATGTCCTACCCACTGTGCTATCACTCCAGTCTGTGCTATGGGTACTACCAAGCAACTAGGCTGAGAGACCCACTGAGGGCAGATTTTTATAAGAGATGGAAAAGTTTGGGGATTTTGTTCTGGGAGAGGGTAAGCGGGTCTGTGCTTGGGGCCTTCTTTACGTAGCAGGAGAAGCTGAGCTGGGCAGCTGGGACAGGGACAGAGCAGTTGGGGTAGGAAATGGCAACCCAGCTTCTTCCCAGTGGGACCCTGAGCACTCGTCTGCAATTTCTTTGGCTTGTGTGACCCAGCCTGTGCTGTTGGCTCCTTTTCACAACAGCCAGTTCGTGGAGGATGGCTCTGAATGTTGGAGTCACTTCCTGAGACTGAGACTCAGCTTTGTCATTTTTAGGCTCACTCTTTCCCAAGTTCTTTCCTCTGGAATCACTTAAAGAAAAAAATTGAAAAAGCTATTCATTCCCACCGAGGAGTAATCCAAACACATGAATATACAGGCTATTTTCAGTACAATTTTCAGTGCATCACATACGTCATCTCCTTTAATCTTCAGGATCTCCTGCTATTCCTATCTTCATGCCCATTTCATAGACAAGGTCAGCGGATGAATTAGAGGGCAAAGTCCCATTCACAAAAGTCAGTCCTGTGCTCTTTCTACTACTCCAGGGTTTTCCAGGTACCCATCCTTGGACCTTCTGCATCAGAACCCTTGGATTCCTGTTGCACCTCCATATTCTGTAGGTCACCACAGGTTTCCTGCAGTAGAGTCGCCTGAGGGGAAGAGCACAGAATTCATATCTCAATGCACTCAACCATTGATTTCTAGACCAACTTCACGGTGGGGGCGGGGGATGGGGAGCAGGGGTGTTGAAGAAACCATGCTCTAATTTTCAACCAACATTACCACTCTGTAACTTCCCTTTTCTTTAATATTTGCTGGGAGAAGAAAGTGAGTTTTTCTGTTGTAAGGAAATTAGACTTCTAAATTGAACATCTTTAAAACAACAAAATAAGCAAGCAGTCACCCCTGGGTACGGATCAGTGTATCTGAGAGCATGAGCAAACTGTGCACACTCTTGATTAAGCACCTCCTTTTTCTATTTCTCTCTCCCCTGTTTGCAGAAGTCTGGGCTTCTGCCCTGTGCTGAGCCAGGATGGGTGACTGGAGCTTCCTGGGAGAGTTCCTGGAGGAGGTGCACAAGCACTCCACGGTCATCGGCAAGGTCTGGCTCACCGTCCTCTTCATATTCCGCATGCTGGTGCTGGGCACGGCTGCTGAGTCTTCCTGGGGTGACGAACAGGCAGATTTCACGTGCGACACCATGCAACCGGGCTGTGAGAATGTCTGCTATGACCAAGCCTTCCCCATCTCACACATCCGCTTTTGGGTGCTGCAGATCATCTTCGTGTCCACGCCATCTCTGCTGTACATGGGCCACGCCATGCACACGGTGCGCATGCAAGAGAAGCGCAGGATGCGGGAGGCCGATCGGGCCAAGGAGGCCCAGGGCACTGGCTACGAATACCCGGCCGCGGAGAAGACGGGGCTGAGCTGCTGGGAGGAAGGGAACGGAAAGATCGTCCTCCAGGGCACTCTGCTGAACACCTATGTCTGCAGCATCCTCATCCGCACCACCATGGAGGTGGCATTTATCGTGGGCCAGTACCTCCTCTACGGGATCTTCCTAACGCCCCTGCACGTGTGTCGCAGGAGTCCCTGCCCGCACCCCGTCAACTGCTACGTGTCCCGGCCCACGGAGAAGAATGTCTTCATCATCTTTATGCTGGCGGTGGCTGCTCTGTCCCTCTTCCTCAGCCTGATTGAACTCTATCACCTGGGCTGGAAGAAGTTCAGGCAGCGAAGTGACAAGTCAACGCAGGGCAGCCCCTCTGCCGGCAGAGTCCAGAACTGTACCCCACCGCCTGACTTCAACAAGTGCCTGCAGAATGGTTCTGGGAGCAAATACTTCAACCCTTTCAGTAACAAGATGGCAAATCAGCAGAACACAGACAACCTGGCAACAGAGCAGGTGCGAGGCCAGGACCCCCTTTCCCGGGACGGTTTTATTCACATCCATTATGACCAGAAGCCGGAAGTCCCCAATGAAGTCTCCCCAGGTCACCGCCTCCCCCAGGGATACCCAAGTGACAAACGCCGTCTGAGCAAGGCCAGCAGCAAGGCCAGATCAGACGACTTGTCTGTGTGACTTCCAGGGGGAGCAAAGGCATCTGGGAGATGGCAGATGCATCCACCTGGATCCTCGGCCCTCTCAGATTCTCATCAAGGCCTGCTCTGCTGGGGCTCCAGGACTCAAGAGCATTGCTCGTTTATTCTAAGAAAAATGGTCGATGCTCATAGTCAGAGACACAGCTTCCTACCCAGGTGCTGACTCTTCCCCATTCTTTTGCCTTAAGTACTTGGTGAAGCCTTTCAGAATATTCATTAAACAGGAAGGGAAAGGAACCACAGAGTCTGGCCTATCAGGAAGGGCCAGAAGGACAGATAACTAGACACCACCTACATACCTGTTGGGTTTTCCAAGACTCTGTGGCTTCCTTGATCTGATCATTCTTCCTCTAAAAGCAAGGACTTAACATCACAGCATGACCCAAGGGTCTTACATTTGATGGCTCTGGGATCTGGACTATACCTTGGAGTAGTGGTGAAGTCACTCCTCATACTACTCAGTTTTATTTTAAATAGAAATCTTGGGAACTTGACGGGCAGCCTCTACTTGACAAGTGCCTTGACACGTACCACTGGCTGAAGCATGGCACTGGGGATGTCGCCTCTCCTGCATGTGTGTGGAATCAGCTCCTGGAGGTGTAAGTTCCTTAATGAGTGACTGTGCATATGAATTCCCAGGGACTCCTCCCACCACCTGCCAACCTGTGGCTTTACACTTGAATCTGATGTTAGAGACCAGTCTTTTCCTCCCCCACCTGACTGCTCAGTGTGTCATTAAAAATCGTATTAGCCAGGATACTGAAGAAACCACTGTCCTTGCTCACTTGAATTCTGACCTGATCACCAGCCAATAGCCCCAAGAATTCCTCCAGCTCTTACCAACACAAAGAGTACATTGTGCTCCTCAGGTTCCTCTTGGGAAGAAATAATTCTGCTGTGAAGATGAAAATGGAGAGAAAATACTGGAAAAAAGATTGTTTTACTGTCCTATTTATTATACCTTGCTGACAGTCAACTTGAGTGCCAAAAAGAGGCTTGATGATAGCTACAAAGCCCCTTGCATCTCTCTCTCTCTCCCTCTCCGTTTCTCTCTCTCTCTCCCTCTCCCTTTCTCTCTCTCTCAGTAGCAGGACCAGGGAAGTATTAGGAGATTTCTCTGTCTCTGGAAAACCCCTGTTCTCAAGGCATACAGAGATTCCTGTGGCTCCTAGGCACTCCTAATGAGGCTGCCATGATGAGGGTGCAACAAAGCCTCTCCTTGCCTTGGGACTGGTCTGACTTCTCTATCTAATCCATCCTTAGTGGGTAGTCTCTATTTTTGGATGAAGATAAAAGATACTGAAAATGATAGGTAGAGTGTTACATTTTTAGTTGCATGAGTGTGTAAGTATGTATGTGAGGTATGCACGGATAAGTCAGGGAAGTGGAGGGGAGGCCTGGAGTCAGGAAAGGCAACCTTAGTGGAATCTGTGTCTTCCTGTCCCCCTCCTCTATACCTCTCAGGGACAGAGCCTCCTGGTTTGCCATGTGATTAGCCTGAAGAGAAAGCATGAGAGGTGGACACAGAAGAGAGAGCCCAGCTTCAACCCCCACCCCCCCCATCTGCCCATCTCTACCCTCTTCCTAATATTTGACAATTATTGGTGGGTGAAGAGAAGGATGACGGTAGGGAGGAGAGACACTAGATGTCACTTAGGGAAGAGTGATTGATGGTCAACCACGGCAGGCTTCTGAAGGGTGGACACCTTTCAGTCCATTGTCTGTCACTGAAACTCTCCTTTAATAGAACAGAAGAGACTGCCTCTCCTATCTCTGAAATGTGTTTGCTTTGTGAAATGAGTCTTATTGAATTAGAAATTCTGTAAGATCAGTCCATGATTATAGGATTTCAGGAAGGAAAAAGGAAATCATATTTGTAGTTTGTCTTAATAAAATTTAGCTTTACGTTATCTCTCCTTTGTGTTCCTTTCATGTTTGACTGAAAGAGATGGGCACAGGCTTGAAGGAGTGGGAGTGAGGAGCACCAACCTATCAGTCAGTAAAGCAGAGAGCTGGGGAACCAGACAGGCAAGGGTTAATATCCCAGGTAATGATTTAAAGGTGGAGTCCTGCAAGGTACAAATCTCTGATCTTCCACTGTAAATTGAATTGAGTAATATCAGTCTTTTAGAGATCTAACTGGAATAGAGTTTATAAAGGGTTCTACTGAGTGGCTGGGAAATAAGAGTCTGACATTAAGTGGTGATTATTGTTTTTGCTACGGCTATGATTCAGAACTTTTTATGGTACCCACAAGCTACCCAAGCTGATCACATTATGTTTCCTATAATTAGAATAGAATGGAATGGGAATTAATTTCTAAGAATTCTTAGAATGATAAGACTCTGGAGAGAGACATTATAAAGGAAGAAGAGAGACCTGGTTTATGCCTTCAAGAATAATTAGAGTTTTGGAGAAATGAAGACCTCAAGGTTGACTATAAAATAGGACTTGGTGTTACTATCTTACGGACATGGAAACCAAGGTCTAGGAGAACTCTTTGCCTGTGGCACAGTTTCTCACTGGGTATATCTCCTTGAAACAGAAAAACATGATTCATTTTTTTAAAAACGGGTAGCAAACCACCAAAGTTAGCCTAACAATTTCCTAGAGAAGAAAACAAGGGCTGGAAAACACTATGGAAAGATGATCTGAACTCCCAATCAGTCTTGTTGATTGAGACAGGAAAACTTTCAAAGAGGGATTGCACCAATATTGCAGAACATGTGACATGGGTGTTGAGACTCAGAGGTGTGTTGGCACCTGTCCATAGGTAAGGTACCTAGCTCCATGGTCCAGCTGAAAGAAGCATCTGGGATTCCCTTTTCCCCTGGGGAAAAAAGGCAATGCAGCTCATGGTTTTATGAACAGAGCTATTACCAGTTAGCACCTTATTTTACACAAAGACTATAAAGACCCAGGGACTTACTTTATAGTGGGTAAGATTTCAGCCTCATGCATCTACTCTCATTTTATCTTCTTTTTCCTCCCTACAAATGTTCACCGCTAAAGAGGGAAGCTGGATAATAAAGTAGTGAACACAGTTTGAGTTGTAGGACACTGCAGGGCCCTTTTCTTCCTCCACTGCCAAATAAGACTAGAATTTCAACCATTGGTGTTTCATGACTATGACTAAAAGTGCTGAAATGATTACCTCCTAGTAACACCCCTATGAAGAATCACAGTATTAATGAGTTTGCTTCTTAGTAGCAAATTTTGGTAGCAGAGAGAAAGAAAAGTACCAAAGTGAAAAAACAGAACAAGGCTGTTTTATAGCTTGTGTCTTGGAGGCTTGATTTCAATGATGTGAAGATGAAGACAAGGCTGTAGCTGGATGCCAGGTGGACTACCCACTTCCTAATTGACCATGTACTGACTCTTACAAAAGAAAAAACATATAAATAGAATAGGATCTATGGTTATTCTTGTTGTTGACCACCATGGTCATCAGAGATGGGTATGATCTTTAGTTTTTCATTTCTATTTCAATTTCAAAGAGAAAACTTCTATTCAACAACAATTGAGCACCAATTTAAAAGCTGGGCACCATGTAGGGCTTTAGGGACACAATTTTATAAAACAGATGTAGTTCCCGCCTTTCATGGCTTACAGGCCAGTTGGGAAGATATCCTAACACAAATCAATTAAATGGCTTATTTCATTTCATACTAGGTGATTGGGCTGGGGCCATAGCACAGCAGGTAGGGTAGGGCATTTGCCTTGCACGTGACCGACCCAGGTTTGATTCCTCCATCCCTCTCAGAGAGCCCGGCAAGCTACTGAGAGTATCCCGCCCACATGGCAGCTCCTGGCAAGCTCCCCATGGCATATTCGATATACCAAAAACAGTAACAAGTCTCACAATGGAGACGTTACTGGTGTCCACTCGAGCAAATCGATGAACAATGAGAGGACAGTGCTACAGTGCTACTAGGTGATCATATTTATTACCAGGAAAGAAGCAGGCAGGAAGCTCACAATGGGGGATTCGGGGAGGGGACCTTCTTTAGAAAGGATGACTAACAAGGTGTTTTGGAAGTTAACACTCAAGCTTAGAAGAAGCAGTTGTTGGTGAGTATGAGAACCCAGATGAGGAACCAAAATTCCTTCCAGGAAACCCCCATATATAGCTGCCGCTGAATCCAATCTGCTACAATAGTTTTGAAAGATGTAGAAGTTAAATGACACCTAGATGGCACCCCAAACTGCATTATTGGGCTGGAGTGATAATGGATAATACATGGCCTACCTGGGTTCAATCCCTGGCATCCCACTTGGTCCCCCGAGCACTGCCAGGAGTAATTTCTGAGTGCAGAGCCAGAAGTAACTGATGAGGATCACCGGTGTTGCCCTCCCAACATCCCCAGAAAAGAACCCCAAACAGCTCTGTTTGCCACCTGTTGTAAAACACACAGCGTTATTTCAGCTAAAGCGTCAGTGGTCAGAGAAAGCTTTTCATTCAAAGCCAAAGGAGTGTTTCGACAGCCTTAGCTAAAACAACTAAATCTCATTTAAAATATTCTAAAAGATGCAGTCTGAGGTTGCAACTACTATTCCTTTGTATTGACTCTTATAACATGCTTGGTCTTCTAAGCTGGGCCAGAGTGGAGAGGCAAGGTGCTGGGGAGAGAAGGGCTGCATTTCCCAGAGGGACCACAGATTGGTAGACAGAAGACTGTTGGAAAGGGCTGGGAAAGGTTAACAGGTTGTGGCCCAGAGGAGTCCCAAAGATGAGGAGCTGAGGGCATTAAGTGGGACAGGAAGGGACAGGAGCCCACCCACCCCCTCTGAAGCAGGCTACAGAAGCTGTGCGAGCCTCTAGCCTCCAGTTTCTCAGGTGGAGGCAGGGCCTAGCCCCTGAACTGGACTTGGAGCTGGACTTCGGACTGGGAGGAAGGTCCATCCATGAATGAAGCAGAGCATCTCCTAGGGGCTGGTTACTGGCAGGCCACAGGGGCAGGCTCAGACAGAGCACAAGGTGGGGTTCATGATGAGAATGACAGTGAGATGATAATGAGTAGTATCGTTTGCAATGATAGAGAGGCTTTTAACAGATGCCTTCAAAGCTCTAAGCCAAAGGAACCTCCAGAGCTGATTGTGAAACTTCCAGGCACCTCACTAATCAGTAGTATACAGGAGATGGAGTTGGTATGGAGCCAGCACTGCCCCAGAAGGTCAGGACTGAAAAAACAAGGCTGAAGCCCCCTTGGCCCGTTTGGCCTGGCTGGCTTTTCCATCTCACCCATTAGAGTTCTGATGGAACAGGAAGCACTCACTTGCCAGTAGGTGATTTTCTTCAGAGGGAAACAGAACTGTGTGAGAACCTTTCAGGAAGTCTGGAGAGCCGATCAACTGAACCTCTGCATCCTGGCCTGTGTGACTTCCCTCACACAGGGCTGCTCTTCAGCCCACAGCTTGAGGGGAGTGGAGAAAACTGATTATGCTTTCTAGGGGCCTTCCTGGGGCCTTTAATCCTTCCTTCCTTCCTTCCTTCCTTCCTTCCTTCCTTCCTTCCTTCCTTCCTTCCTCCCTCCCTTCTTCATCCTTCTCTCTCTCTCTTTCTTTCTTTCTTTCTTTCTTTCTTTCTTTCTTTCTTTCTTTCTTTCTTTCCTTCCTTCCTCCCTCCCTCCCTCCCTCCCTCCTCCCTCCCTCCCTCCCTCCCTTCTTCATCCTTCTCTCTCTCTTTCTTTCTTTCTTTCTTTCTTTCTTTCTTTCTTTCTTTCTTTCTCCCTCCCTCCCTCCCTCCCTCCCTCCTTCCTTCCTTCTTTCCTTCCTTCCTTCCTTCCTTCCTTTCTTCCTTCTTTCCTCCTTCCTTCCTTCCTTCCTTCCTTCCTTTCTTCCTTCTTTCCTCCCTCCCTTCCTACCTTCCTCATCCTTCCTTCCTTCCTTCCTTCCTTCCTTCCTTCCTTCCTTCCTTCCTTCCTTCCTTCCTCCCTTCTTCATCCTTCTCTCTTTCTTTCTTTCTTTCTTTCTTTCTTTCTTTCTTTCTTTCTTTCTTTCTTTCTGTCTGTCTGTCTTTCCTTCCTTCCTTCCTCCTTCCTTCCTCCCTCCCTCCCTCCCTCGTTCCTTCCTTCCTTCCTTCCTCCCTCCCTCCCTCCCTCCCTCCCTCCCTCCCTCCCTTCTTCATCCTTCTCTTTCTCTCTTTCTCTCTCTTTCTTTCTTTCTTTCTTTCTTTCTTTTCTTTCTTTCTTTCTCCCTCCCTCCCTCCTTCCCTCCCTCCCTCCCTCCTTCCTTCCTTCCTTCCTTCCTCCATCCCTCCCTTCTTCATCCTTCTCTTTCTTTCTTTCTTTCTTTCTTTCTTTCTTTCTTTCTTCCTCCCTCCCTCCCTCCCTCCCTTCCTCCCTTCTTCATCCTTCTCTTCCTTCCTTCCTTCCTTCCTTCCTCCCTCCCTTCTTCATCCTTCTCTTTCTTTCTTTCTTTCTTTCTTTCTTTCTTTCTTTCTTTCTCCCTCCCTCCCTCCCTCCTTCCTTCCTTCCTCCCTTCTTCATCCTTCTCTTTCTTTCTTTCTTTCTTTCTTTCTTTCTTTCTGTCTGTCTGTCTGTCTTTCCTTCCTTCCTTCTTCCTTCCTTCCTCCCTCCCTCCCTCCCTCCCTCCCTCCCTCCTTCCTTCCTTCCTTCCTTCCTTCCTTCCTTCCTTCCTCCCTCCCTCCCTCCCTCCCTTCTTCATCCTTCTCTTTCTCTCTCTCTCTCTCTCTTTCTTTCTTTCTTTCTTTCTCCCTCCTTCCTTCCTTCCTTCCTTCCTCCCTCCCTTCTTCATCCTTCTCTTTCTTTCTTTCTTTCTTTCTTTCTTTCTTCCTTTCCTTCTTCCTTCCTTCCTCCCTCCCTCCCTTCCTCCCTTCTTCATCCTTCTCTTCCTTCCTTCCTTCCTCCCTCCCTCCCTTCTTCATCCTTCT